CTGGTGGGGAAAGATAACAACCCGCAGTGGGCTGCATGCAGACAGTAGTACAATGGTGTGAGCTGCTTTTTCTCTGAAAGCCACGTTGTCACACCAGCTATCCCAGGAGAACAAAGGGCGACAATTGGACCAACTCCTTGGGTGACAGGATTTTTGACTTGGTGTTGACTAAACAATCTGGATCCAGGGAAAATAAGTTACTCAGAGTGGTGGTGTTCAACCTGGGTTCTCACCCAGGTTTTTTGAGGGGGAGAGACAGAAGGACAAGCAAATGAGAGATGAGAAAGCTGGACTCCTCTCCAGCCCAGAGTAGGTGGGTTTTCATCTGATTTACACTCCAGGCTTCCATTAAAAGCAGATTCCTTTTGAAAAAGGACTGGTGATGCTTAGGAGAGAGGGAAGGAAGAGATCGGGGAGAAGGTCCAGATACAGTAAGCATTACCTCAGCGTTGGCGCTAGATTCCAGCCTTGGAATCGGATGACATCGCCGCCCTGCCATGAGCACACTCCTCGAGGGCAGGGACCAAGCCTTACCTCCCTTTGTCTCTCTCATCTCCTACACGACTCCTGTCTGGTAGCTGCCACTGCATCAGTGTTTACCTAAGTGATCTGAATTAATTGTGGCTCCAGTTAAGTCTCCAGATTATGAGCCCTCCCTTTTATCCCCATTATTCTTTGATATTCAACTTTTCACCTTCCAAGTCAGTGTTAACTAACCCCAGAGAGAAGTGGAGACGAGGTGAAGTGGTTTCCTGCAGAACACAGAGGAAGCCTTCAGAAAGTCCTGCCGTGGCACGGGATCCATGCCCTCTCCCAGGGCTATTCTAGAACAGTAATTGCTTGTCCCGTGGGTACAACTTCTGCTTTACCCTCAGGAAGAACTGGGAGCGCACGGCATGTCTACTTGCACTGGGACCCTGAGGGACAGACATGAGCCTGAGAGTGTGGCTGTGGGAGGCCTGGGAGGGAGCACCCGTCACAGATGTCTTGAATGGCCTAGTTATATGCAGATTTGTTTCTCTTATAGAAATGCCTTGTTTTACCCACTATCCTAGTTATATGCAGATTTGTTTCTCTTATAGAAATGCCTTGTTTTACCCACTATCCACCCTTCCATGTGGTAAATCTGTAATCAAGTTCTACCATGTACCATGCACTGTGCTACATGTGAAGGGACAGAACAGAAAATAAGTACACTAGATTCCCAGCCTTTATGGAGTTTTCTTCCATCAGAATCTAAAGCAGCAGTTCTCAGCCCTGTCAGCACATTCACATATTTGGAAAGCCTTAAAACACCTGGGTGTGGGCCTCGAGAGGTATGATTTAACCAAACTGGGATCCTGGTATCAGTGTTTATACCGGAAAGATTTGGGTCTAGATGAGAGAGGCTCTGGAGGTCTGCGGAGAAGCTTCTGGTCTTTCCAGCTGTGCAAGGTACCAACCACCCTCCTCGGTCACTCACTGGAGCTGGACCTTTCGCCTGGCCCCAAGCTGGCGGGAAAAAGGGAAAAACACTACTTGCGTTTGGTTTCCTCTGTGTTTTGCTTCTGTTTCTTCATTTTCCACATGAAGAGTCCTTCCTTCAGAAAATGGGACCCTGCCAATCAGGTCTTGAAATCTGGATTTCAGAGATGCTCAGCCTTTGCGTCTGCCACCCTGGGCCACTGATCAACTGCCTCTGGTTTTCCCTTTCTCTTGACTTCTTTTTGTTCCTTGTTTCCAGGCTCTTGCGGTCCCCATAGCTGCATTCCAGTGAGCCTTCTCGGGTTTTTCTACGGCTCTGCTAGATAACAGCGACCTGGGGGCAGGAATAAAGGACCTTTCCCCTCCTTTGTCCCTTTCTTCCCTAATCTCAGGCAGCATCCCTCTCTCTTTTCAGTTCTCCTCACCATTCCACCTGCAGATCACCCCTTCTCCCGCCCCAGTGCCATTCTCTGAGCTTCCTCCAGACACCTCGCCGCTGGGGCTGAAGACCCGGAGAAGAAAGAGGCAGCCTGTCGGGGACCAGACCTTGTCACTCTCTCTCCCCATCCACACCCATGCCTGGTGGATGCCAGGTCTGAAAAGTGCCCCATCCACAAACATTAAAGTGAGAGAACAAAATATGTTTATTTGCTTTTTATTATCCAAGTTGAGTTTCAACCCCAGAGGGTCTGGGCAAGTAGGAACCCAGCTTAATCAGAAGGCTCAGGCTTACATAATGCCCTACAAATAATAATAATAACATAATAGGACAAATGCTTGGGCTACATTTGGAGCTTGAAATGATCAGTGACATTTCCCGTGATGAGGTTAAGCTGCCTGGCTCACAGGGCTGCACATTTGCATAATAAAGATCAGAAGTCACTGCCTTCTACATCTCTCTCAGCACAAGCTGCCTGTGTCCTTGATCCGGGGACACCACATCCTAATGTACTTCCATATGCAGTCCTGTGCAGTGATTCTAATCTTTGACTTGCATGTGAAATGTCAGCTTTTTTTTTTTTGTCTGAGAGAACAACAAATTATGTTTCTAAGTGAGAAGTTACTGTCTGTAATGGATAATATAATCTGAAAATGCAGAGGCAACCTCTGTGACCCACGGTGCTAACCTAGCAAGCTGCAGTCTATTTTTCCCACCTATCAGTTGATAGGAAAACATCACTTGAGATATAATAATTAATCATTAGTCAAAAGGGATATCCCATTGGTTCTTTGCCTCTCAGACAGCCCTGCCTGGCCTGACTATAAATCAGGAAAATACATTCTGTAATATCCAATGGAATGCATTTCCAGTCAGCCTCGAAGTAACAAAACACTTTGCAGAAACCGTCCATCATCAGCTGATGGAGGAAGATTCTCCCAAGGTGCCACCTGCGCGAAAGAAAATGCAGAGCCCAGAGGAAGGCAGGCAGTAAGTTCAAGATGGCAGCTGAGAACCAAAGAAACATCTTACAGTGGTGGCTCAGCTGGGCAGGGGACAATGACAGCCAGCCCCTTCCCTGTTGGGCCCCTTGGTCCCCTTGCCCTTCATTATGGCTTCTGTCCTCGGCCCACCACCAGGGCCTGGCCACAGCCTCTCAGGGCCTGGTCCCCACAGTCCCATTATCCTCCTGGCTCTAATGGTGGCAGTAGAGTAATCATGACAAGCCTTTTTTCTGCTTGAATCCAAGCTTTCTCTGGACCCATTAAAATATTTACATCACCCAACATGTTCCAAGAAAACAAATGATCTGTCAAATACAGTAGAAGGAAAGGTGGGCTGGAAGTCAGGATGGGAGAAAGGGATCCGAGGATCGCCTAGACTCTAACTTTTCATTGGATGGTCGACCTCTCAATGGCCTTGTTCTCTCATCTGTACAAGGCTTTTAATCTGTGCCCTAGAGTTCTGAGGCAGTGCCTCAAGGTGAGGTGCCAGGGAGAAGAGGGAAGGGAGGGAGAAAGAGAAGATACCCTCAAATTTCACTAGAACATTCAGCTTTTACAGTTCTACCATCAGGCAAAATGAAAAATTCAAAAGCTGCTGAGTCAGATGATCTTTAAAGCTATTCCCAATTTCTAAACCCTATAGTTCTCCATCTCAACACCACCCACTCCACCGCCCAATGTGGGAATGATTTAGGAAATGCCGCCTCATGTGGAGGCCTACAGTTGAATCTCTCAGCTGCCACACAAGTGGTTCCCAGGTGGGGGCAATTTTGTCCTCCTGGGGCCATTCGGCAATGTCCGGAGATGTTTTTGGTTGTTGCAACTGGGCAGGAGGGAGCTACTGTCATCCTGTGGGTGGAGACCAGATGCTTTCACCCTGTGACGCACAGGACAGCCCCCCAAAAAAGAATGATCTAGCCCAAAAGTTGAGAGTGTGGAGGCTGAGAAACCCTGTGCCAGACTATAGGAATGAAGAAAGTATGTTCACAGGTGAGCTTCTGAGTAGGAAAGACTCTATTCGGCTTCCCTCGGCCCGGGGTTAAGTAGAGGTGAAGTCCATTCTCAGTTCCTCCCTGCTGAGAGCTCCCCGGGGCCTGGATCTGAGCACAGAACATCCCCTGGCCTGGGAACAGTGGCCCACAGAGCTCCTCAGATCCCTTCTAGAGAGAAACCGGCCTCACTTGATACCTGAGTACCTCGAGCTGCCCAGCGTGCTGGGCATATTCAACTTCAATCAAGACCAAGAGCTGGTGACAGTAACACAAATATTGAACTTTTCATTCATTCGTTGAACAAATACCAATTGATTCCTTTCTATGAACTGGACACAGTTCTGGGTACTGGGGATATAGCAACGAACGAAATAAAGTCTCTGCCCTTTATAAAGCATCCTCATCAGGGGAAGGCAGAAAATCAACATACAAATAAATACCTAGACTCAGGCGGTAGTAAGTGCTATATAAATGTTATAAAACAAGGAGGAACATAGGGAGTGAGAAGAGGTTGCCAGCCTCTCGGGTAAGGCGACATTGGAACAGTCTTGCAGGCTTGTGGATGCCTGGGGTGGGGCAGGGATGGAGTTGTAAGAACAGGCAGAGCACGTTGGCTGAAGGGACCTGCCGTGTTTACGAGTCACTCCCTTACGTGCGGCAGAGGGCACGGTGGGAGCCAGGAAGACGGGGGCCAGGGCCAGGTCTTGCAGTACCTGGTCAGCCCACTCAGATGTCCGGGTTTTACTCAGCTAGGTGGGAAACTGTAGGAATTCGGAGACAGGGCAGCATAAACTGATTTATGTTTTAAAAGCAAAAAGACGCCAAAACACCCTCCACAGGTTTCAGTAGCCCAGGTCACTGTCCCTGTCATTGTCAGATGGAACAGAGCTTCAAAACGTTCACATTTTCTTTTTGCATTTAAAGAACAGATTAAGCAAGCAAAACATCAGCTTGCCTTGTATCATAAAAGTCCTACTGCTGTTCTAAACCAGAGACGGCTGCAGCTGGTTGGCCACGCCCCAAGGCCGGGCAGAGCAGAGTTCTTCTGGAGAAGCCCTCCAGTTCAAGAAAACAAATCAATGCAAATTTCATTTCACTTGAATCAAAGAAATTCCTCATCACACACTACTTTTAGGAGAGGGGATAGGTTGGGGGTGTAATAAAATCAAATCACACAGAGGCTATGTTCCAGAAAGGCTGGGATCACTGATTAATACCGTAAGTCCAAGAACAGAAATGGGCATGCGCGCCATAATTTATTAATAAATCACCAGCCCTTCCAAGACAACTTTTCAAATAAAACGTGACACTTGTTTAAATATTTACTGGTTTGTTGACCCATTTCTTTTGTTGTTGTTAATTAGAATATTTTTTTCAAGGAAACAAACATTGAAGCAGCAAATAAATCCAGACAGCCTGGAGAGTGAAATAGCTCAGCCAGGCTAGGGTTAAGCATTAAGTTGTGATTTACCAAAACTGTAGTATTCAAGGGGAGAAGTTAATTAGAAATAACAGAAATAGTCTCTGAATGTAAAAAGGTTAAGGCTCATCCGTACCCCTGCTCTCTGCTTATTAAATTAACACAATAGATGGGAAAACATTTGTTTAAAACAGTTTTCAGCAATCGTTTTTCTGTTATTTTCTCTTAAACGTGCTTTTAGCCCAGACCTCCTTCTCTTCCAAGAAGAGGTTGGCTGAGCAATTCTGTAGCTATTCTGACAAAACAGAAAAGCTACGTTTAAGATGTTTCGTTTGAGTCCTTTGTCTTTTTTTTAACTTTTAATGGCTCTGTGTTTCAGTTGAGTGCCTTGTGGTTAACGCTTCCTCCTTGCTCCTCTCTGGGGCTTTTCTGAGGCCAGGCTTAGAGGACCTTCCAGATCACAGTCACAGTGGCATTTTCTGTCTCCTGACTACAGGCCTATAGACTCCACTGCCCTTGCCAAAAGAAACTTTACTCAGAACGTCTCAGCAAAAAATGCCTGACCCCTGGCAGGAATTGTAGCCAGTCGTTACCATGACAACTAGTGCAGTGACCACCTCCATGTGCCGGGTGGGGGCCACTGGTGGAGAGGTTGTCATGGAAAGGGGGTAATGGCTTTTGGTGGGCACAGAGTTCCTCTAAATGGACCCACTCTAAGGATAGCGTTGCAGCCACAGGATGATGTTAGTAACAATGGCATGTCAGTTAACTAGTTAACTGCTGTAGATAGCTAAGCGTCCACCATGCACTTAATGTTCACAATAGCCAAAAGCAGTAATAGTTTTGTGATCTGTTTTTCTTTGATGAGGAAGCAGAGGCTCAGAGGTCTGGCTGACTCTTCTGCACCCCTGCACTACTTTTCCTGTGCCAGAGCTCCCAGCTGGAGAAGAGGGGGTGCCCAATGTTGAAGCCTGATTTCGCCCTCACCCTCTTTGATGCTGTGCAGGAAAGGGGACCCTAGGCAACTGGGGATGAACAGCTGCTTCTTTTTCTCTAACACAGGCCCCAGGACAGGTCAGCAGTCTGATCAGAGTGATAATGAATTTAAGATAGTTTCAAATCCTGGGCCACTTCTCCACCAAAAAGTGAAATCCATCGCCCCTCCCCCTGAAGAATGAGGACTGGCCCTGTGACTTGCTGTAACCACTAGAAAGTGGCAGAATGAAACCATGAAACTCCCAAGGCTAGGCCTTAAGAGATGCCTCGCTGCTGATACTGTCTGCTTGGAACACTCCCTCTTGGAACACAGCCACCACGCAGAGAGAAGCCGCGAAAAGGAGAAGCAAATTGCTTCCTGCCTTCATCCGCAGCCCCAGTGGAGCCCCCGGCCTGTAGCCAGCACCAGGTGCAGCCACGCAGCCAATCAGCTTGGAGGCTCCCGCTCGCTCAGCAGCACATGGAGCAGATGAACTGCCCAGCTGAGTGCAGGCAACCCTGGAATCGTGGTGACAACTGATGGTGGTGGGAGTGGTTGTTTTAAACCACTAGGTCTTGGGGTTGTTTTTTTCACAAACAATTGTGGAACAACTTTTTATTGTTTCACTGCAATAGATAAAAGTCTATTTACACAATCTGTTTACCCAGGAAAATGGCCTCTTGGACAGGAAAGATCTTGACAGTGTATCTATGGTGCACCTGACTCTGATGCGGGTGGCCAGGGGAGAGACCTCGGCTGACACAATCCCTTGTTTGCATTTTGGGAAGCATATCTCTGAGGAGGGTTGGGTATATAGGAGGGATATCTGTGACCCCCCCATTAAAGCACATCACCTAGGTCTCCATGTGCCTAATGAGACACTGGCCTGAAGCCAAGGGTCAGCTCCACCTCACCAGGAATCCAGGAGGAGAGCGTCTTGGCATTGACTGTAAAGAAGCTAAATGGAGCTGGAAAAACAGCAGGGGCTGTCTCCTCCCTACACTGTGTAGGGAACTCTTTGGCAAGTCACTGAACATATTCCTCATGAAGTTATTGCAAGAGTTAAATGTGAAAATATGTGTAAAGTTCTTAGTACAGTGTCTGTATGATTTAGGTGCTCAGTCAATAGGTACTCTTTCCAAATTTATAGGGGCTCTTGTTTTCACAAAATGGATCATGACTCTACGAGGTTCACCTCTAAAAAGACAGCTAATTCCAATGTGTCATGTTCAGTGAGCAGACCAAGTGTTAGACTCACACTGGCTGTGCAGACCCTATCTGGCATCTATAGGACACTTGCTAAATCAAAGTGATCTCCATAAAGTCACAAACACAGGAAGATGATTTTCATCTGTGATGTTTTCTTCCTTTTCCCCCTGAAAAGACAAGTGGAGGCTGTTCTTCAGACCGTGTGGCCTCATCATTTTGTTCAGCCCGACCTTTGGCCCGAGGCAGGATGCTTGCCGGCCATCGTGACACATGGCCTCTTGGCAAGTGTGAATGGGTGGGAAGTCTCGGATCGCCCAGGGAGCTTGCTTCCTCAACTCTGGTGTTCAGGCTGCATGTATACGTTTTCCCTCAGCTGTGTTCAGTCAAGCCCTCTAAAATTCATTGTTGCTTCAGATGAGTTTCCAAGGTGGATCTGCAGGCTTCTGAGGTCCCAGAAAGACTGAACACCTTTGCACTCACCTAGTCAGCTGAATCAGGGCCCATTTTGACCTCTAGTGTCATAAACAAAACTTCTCTTGGGATGGTTTGGAGAGGCAAAATAAGGCGGCAGTTCTTTTTCTTATAAGATACACAACCACAACATTACTTTTTCTCAAAGAGTTGAAAGGGATGTGGCTGACACACTGATGAGGGACAGAATTTCTATTTCTGTGGGTTCCTTAAGGCAATGGAGGAAGCTTAGCGGCCACAGGAGTCTAGTTAATGAGCAGGTTATACAATATTCATTGTGCTGAGTTTAACTCTTCAAACAGAACATCTAATTGCAAAAAGAAAAAAAGCAGCTAAATTACAGATGTTAAGACAACAAAGCTAGGGAAGAACTCCGTCTGGTGATAGAACCGTCCCTTCGCAGCTTCCTCCACTAGCTGCTCACTGATGGGGGCGCAGTGAATCCCTGTCCTCATCGGCTATGCTTGTCAGTTCCCTTCTGGCTGAGACCCTCTGCAGGGTCTAAGGAGGGTCATTCAGAGGCCTGGTATGATGGTCTTCTCAGAGGACTGTTTTCTTGCTACCCACAGAGGGAGTGATCCAGTTATATTCTGTTTCAACAACAACAAAACTGTTCTCCCCAGTCTTCCTGACATGCATGGTCTCACCGCCATCACTCCTGGCAACAGCATCACCAGCAGGCTCCCTGAAGGACACTTCCGTCTACTTACGGTAATACTGGCTGTGCAGGTAGCAAAGGCCAGCAGCTAGGGCCATGCCCAAGGTGGCCGAAAGGCAAAGCAGGATTCGTAGGTGGGGGGTCCTGAGCTGGATCCCAGAAGGGGCACTGGCTCCCTCCTGCCCAACCTCAGGCCTTGGGTTGACCTTCCTGGGGTGTCCCACTCTGCCTTCTCCATTTCCCTCCTCAACTCTGGGCTCCTTGTGTTTTGAATGAGGCAGGAAACTGGCATAGGGGCTTGATGCCTCCGACTGGTCACCAGAACTGGGGGGTCTGGACATGGCAGAAGTGTGGAAGGTGGGAGTTGGGTTGGTTGCCCCAGCCCCATGCCCAGCAAATGATTCAGAGGCCCAGAGGCCCCGAGGATAGGTAAGATGGACAGTGTACAGAGGAGGCCTCATCATAGTCCTGTTGTAGGACCCCATCTTGTCCTAGAAATGCAAAGAAAAAAAGAAGTCAAAGTTGCTGGTCTTCCTCCAAGCTGCCACTAAACTTTACAACTAACCTGTGTTCTTTAGAGAATCCCAGGCAGCAGCTGACAACCCAGCCTTGTGCCTGCTCCTGAAAGAGCTCAGAGTAAGATGCCTGAGTAGATAAATACATATTTGCTATTGACTGGGGATGGGCAGCTAATGGAAACCCCAAAAAGAGAGCATGGAGGCCAGTTATAAGAATAAAGTTAGGGTCCTTTAGGAGGTTTCTAGACCAACAGGGGTGACTGTTGGCTGAAATGGCTGAAAGCTCTGTGTGTCTTTCCATGCTGGGACCCATACAAGAGAGACCCTTTAATCTTGATGTAGGTTCTGATAAATTTGAGTTAGAATATTACACCATGGCCAGTGCTGTCAAGGAGAGGGTGGAGGCAGGGAGGAGAGAGGAATTATTAACCAAAGCTAAGTGGGAAAACAAATCACTAAAACCATCAATTTCTACAATTGCCGATAACTTCAGAGACACTGCAGATAATGGAACAGCTTGTATTGATTGTTAAAAAGATGCTATGTGTATATCATTCTCTTATTGCCTTCACTCCAATTCTGGCTACTGGTCTAATAGCTCTGATTTCCTAGCCTGGAATTTCTCACCCTTGGGTTGAAATACCAACCTCACTGCCCATACACAACTCAGGCTGTCACCTCTTCATTTTTATCTGAGGGCAGGCAAGTTTCCAATAAATCAAAGCTTGGATCAGCCTGAGTCCTAGAGGGAAGAATAGAAAGGCTGAGAAGGAGTCACTAAATATATGGATCAAAAAGCAATACTTCCTACTGCTGCTGGGTATACCAATAAAATCGGATTTCCTTGGTAAGACTTCTGAGTTTTGAGTTGGGGGCTAGTGGGGTGGATTTGGGCAGGACTTGGGAGGGGGAGGTGAGTGAAGACAGTAACAAAGACTCACAAATACTTTTATTTATTTTATATATAACTATATTTATATATTATGATTTTAGACATCTAAAAAATAAAACATGTATTTGTATTTTATTTATAACAGCATCCCAGAGACCTCACCCTGTCCAAAAGAGTACAGTTTCCTCAGGTGGTTTTCATACCCAGCCCTTCTGACCAGTAGCTCTTCTAGAGTTAGGGTTTCTTATGCTCTTAAGAATAAATATAGTGAGCTCTTTTTCTATCATATTCTAAGAAGTTTGCCTTACCCCAGCACCCCTGTTTGGCATCATTCTACCATCTTACTGAATGGCCCACCCCCTGGTCCATTACCTGTGGTGGGTTCTAGGGCTGGAAGCAAAGCCTTCTGAGGAGACTCTCCTAAGGTCTATGAGCCTCTCCTATGCCCATGGACATCCAGGGATGGCTCTAGGGGTGGGTTGCTGACCCCACTGGGTGGCTGGCCATTGTTAACTACGGTAGCTGTGTGTGAAGATGGTGGGAACAGACTCTTGGCACCCCCAGGAAACTCTGTCACCCAAAAGTTGGCATGAACAGGACCCAAGCTGTCCTCCTCTCCAGCTCCAGTTATGGCAACAGCAAAGACATCTGTGTGTTTCTGTGAAACGGTGGTGGGAGTACTGGGAGCTAAGCAGAAGTCCAAAGACACCACAAAGAGAAAGTGAGAGCATTTTCCTTGTATTGATTACACAAACAACTATGATAAGAGGGTAGAGACTTCAATACGCCTTGAGACAATTAAGTGTGAACCATTCAAAAGTATCAACAAACGGATGATCTGCCCAGTAATATAAGCCCTGACCAAGCAGCAAAGTACTCAGTTTCTTATGTCTTTTTTAAAGAGTAAGTTCCTGGCCCTTTTGGGCTTGTGCGTGCTTAACAATCACCATTCAGGGATATGCAAACCACTCTGACCACTGTATTTTTTTCTCACCTCTGCCAAAAACAAAAACTGCTTCTAGCTAGGAAAAGAAAAAGTAGAATCCCACAAATCAAAGATTTTTAAAAGCCCTAGATCTTTCCTGCTCTATTATTAACACTAAAAATTTCCCTGGTGATGATAATGACCTGAGCCTCTGCCATAGGCACAGACAAGATCATTGCCCTGTGCTGCCCTCCACCATCTCATTTTCCATCCGTGACTGGCCAGTCTGACAGTCCAGAGCATTACAAATAGTTGCACACAGCAAGCAAGAAAACACAGGTTTTGGAGTCAGATTATTGTCTGGGTTCAGTTCTGCAACTCTGCTATTTTCTGATTTGGGCCAAGTCTTCTCAGAGCTTGTTTTGCAAAATGGGACCAGTAACAGTACCCAGAGCAGAGCGTTGTTAAGGGCTGAAGTAAAATCACTGAGGGGGAAGCAGGAAACCCAGTGCCTGGCACAGACGCATCCCACACTGAGGGTTTACCCCAGTGCTGATTAGGGTGATGATCAGGACAGAGACGACGGTGCCAACAAAAACATGTTGGCAGGAAGTTTCTCTGACCAGGGCTCCAACTGGGTTGGATCAAATCTTTTTTTTTTTTTGGTGCCTCTTTATTCCAATGACTTCACTGTTTAAAAACATTGAGATTGAAGTGGAAAACAAAGATGCCTAACAGACACACAGAATGTGGCAAAGGCTTGCACACTTTTAAACTCCTGTCTGACGTCTAGATGTATTTGGACATTTCCTGAAGACCGGTTGTGTGTTGGGCATTGTTACAAGCACTGGAGATGCAGAAGTGATACAAGACTGGTCACTGTTGTTTCTGAACTCAAATCTAGGCAGAGAGACTTTTAGATGCCCGACCACATCAACTGCAGTGTGATGACAACTTTAGAGCCAGAACTAAGGGAGCAGTTACATTTGCCTACCAAGAAGTATGGGGAAAACTGCCACAAAACTATATTTGAACTGCCTATTTGAAGATAAATAGGTGATCAGGAAGAACAGCCCATTGTGAGGAAATGTCAGGAGGCAAAACATGGAAATATGAAAGTAGATTATGCCTAATGGGGTAGACCCCCAAGTGTCCTGAGAGTCTGTTGAGAAATAAGTCTGAGAAATACAATATGTTATCTTCAAATGTGGAAATTCACAATTCACATTTGCCTCTTGAAGTTTTCTTAAAGTTAAGAAATCAATTCCATTTTGTTAAGATGACACCTCTCACACTCTGCACGTGTGCATGTGTGCATGCGCGTGTGCGTGCGTGCGCACACACACACACACACACACACACACACACACACTCCTCTTCCCTTTGGGAAACACTAGGGTTCATGCAGAGGAACTGGCATGAAAACAGACCAGGGCCAGAAGAGGAGGAATGCATGCAGCACAATACAGAATTTACCCTGTAGCTACTCGGACTGGAGGCCGTCACCCCCTGGGGACCAGGTTCCCAGCAGGGTGAACCATCAGAGAGGCTGCATGGTCAACAGGACGCATCTTCCTGAAGCCTCACTTTTATTCATATTCATATTTAAACAAACGTGGTTGGGCTCAAAATGCAACATGTGCATAAATATAAAATAAAACACACATGTCAGGTTTGCAGGACCTTCTCCAAGCCACACTCTCAGACTCTGAGACCTTCACTTTTAGGGGTATTTGATGGAAAGGCCTGAGGAGCAGGGCTGGGCAATGGGAGGTAAAGGTTTGAGGCAAAGCCAGGGTGTGGGGGTGGCCCAGAGTTAGCTCTGTGCCTGGGTCGGCTAGACTGAGCCAAGTCGGGGATTCAAGCTGGATCCTGGCATCTGCGTGTTGGCCAAGAATAGAGGGAAGGATAAAGAAAAGTGGGATTGAATGGATTAAAGACTGGATTTTCTGTACAAGTGATTGGATTCCTTTATGAGTGCATGTGTTCTGCACACTTAACAAGAAATACATAATGAAAATGTGTTCCATATTACCAGGAATTTTCAGGTGACCTCTGTATTCTCTAGCTGGTTTGTTTGTTTTTTCCAAAAGTTCATGGGCCACTGTAGTCTACAGCCATGTGCTGAACCAGGAAAAAATCCATTGCTATTGAAACAGCCTCTCATTCCTGATTCTGTTCTCCAACCCAGGCTGCAAAGAGCTATCTACCTACCATGGAAAGTAACACTAAAAACTGATGAGTTTTATAAAAAAAGAAGAAATGGTCATTCCTTTCTGTGCTCCCTGTATAGCTTCAGGGGTCTGAGGAAACAACTGAAGTGATCATTGGTAAATGTGGGGGTGAGGAAAGGGGGGACTGTGTTTCGGACTGGCAGCACCCTTCTAATTCTCCAACCCAGGGCTTGACTTAATTTCTGAGGTTGAGCCAGACAAATGTGTTTGCTGCAACATGCACAGCAAAGGCGAGTGTCCCCACCTGCCCACGACCACACTGTCACCTCCCTGAGAACCCCTGCAGTCACCCTAGGCAGGTGTTTATTGCTTGTGTTGCAGGAAAAAGAAACTGGTAGAAACTTTTAAGTGAAACTAGGTGACTATAAAGATAACAATGCCAAGCAAGCTGTACCTGGGGAGGTTCTCTCAACTCCCTCCAGCCGCCATGCAGAGGCTGGCATCAAGGCGCTGGGGGCCGTGCGGCCGTCAGAATGGGCTCTGCTGTATGTCTGCTGAGATACGACAGGTGATTCAATCCTCTCCCAGTAAATGAAATATGACTGGACTACGGTTAAACTGTGGAAAAAGAAAGCAGAGTGATTCGAAGACTTAGTGTCCCTCATGTAGTAAATACTTCAGGCCTTCCTAACAGGCAGGAGAGGGCAAACAGCAAGATGAAGAACAAAACGTCTAAACGAAATTTCACAAAAGTATAGCAGGATTCAAGAGAGATGATTGTATTACCCTTTCATTCTTTTTAAAAACAAAAACTCAATAGCAGCAAATAAATAAAATAGGAAGGGATATGTACAAATCAATTACCCTCCTGAATAAGTATGCTTGTTAAAAAACCTCATTTTGACTAAAAGGTGTCTTCTTGAACTGTTGAGATTCTAAAGGTTTCATTGTCAACTTTACAGTTAGCCATTTACTGCTCTATTGTTGAATGAACTACACTGTTATTTGAAAGTTTCATGATCCTATGCACAGTTGTACAGTTCTATTGTAATTATAGATTCTATTGAAAATCAGAGATAAATCACTAATACTCTAAATATTTTGAATATGTAATTCCTTTCTTCAATAAAACTCACAGACATTATCTCATTTATCGCTCCCCTGCCAAATTTCATGGAGATAAGGATTAGCCAGTATCATTTTTCCCACTTTAAATATTCAGAAGGCAGTTATAGAAACGTGAATAATTTAGCTGAGGTCATGCAGAGTATTAGGGAGCAAGTCAGAGTCATGGTTCAGGCCTCAAACATGTCAGTTTCATCTCGAGAAGGATCCCTCAGGTGAGAGAGCACGAGGTGACTGTGCGAGAGGCTTCTGATGGAGTGACTTAGCCATCAAATGCAGACAGTAGCTCCTAAACTACTTCCCAGGTAGCACATGGCTGCTATGATGGCAAATCTGGAAATAGAAATGTAGAAAGAAAAGTAACTGTATGGATTTAAGGACTTCAGACAACACACATCCCTTGCGTTGCATCAAAACCAAAGCCTTTGGCCAGAAGCTACGTTACACCAAAGGTCAGGTGGGCGCTGGCCTTTCAAATGGGCAGAATCATTAGGGCTTGATGTAGGCCTCCTTGCTTTCCTGCCTGCTGCAGTAGGCCCCCAGGAAGGGGTGGCAAAAGGACACTACAAGGGGGTGGGGGCCCTGTGCTCATCTCCCATTGCCCCCAGCACAGAGGGGAAAACCCGGGGGGGTGGGGAGCATGTGGTCCAGAGGCCTCCTCCCTTTTATATGTGAGCATGTGGGGAAAAGAGATTGAGTGCCACATACTCTCTCCTATGAGCAAAGCAAAGCTGCTCTTTCTTGGTAAATGCAAGTGTCTGTAAAGAGTGGCAAAGCAAGTGTGTCAGTTTGAGTGATGCTGACACTTATGAGTGCTCACGGATGCCAGGGACTCCTCTGAGCTGGTGGCAGACACCAGCTCCTCCATCCCTGCCCAGCCAAGCGAGGTACCTGCCACTATTGGGATGCCACCTTGATAGACCACCGCTGAGCTGAGGACAGAGACCCCAGCGGCCTGCTCAGGGCCAGGGCAGCGTCTCCTTGTCTGTCCTCCTCAGTGTCTTTCTCAGCTCTTTCCCTTCTCTCCCACCAGCTGCTCTTTTACTCTCTGGTCCGAATTTCTGGGTGAGGTTAGCACAGACCCATCTTCCCAGGGCACAGGGGAAATCACACACAAACCATGGACAGTAACAAAGAGGGGAGCTGGGGCATTTTTTCTATTTTTTCGGTTGCCCTCTGCATAGGCTGTTTGGTTGGGGCAGCCTCATTTATAAGGTGACCAAAGGTAGGGGGCAGGGACTGTGAAGGGAGGGAGAGGAGAAGCTCACCTCTCTTCAATGTGGGAGCCAGCATGTCACTCTCTTACAGGAATCCGATGTCCCCGGTGGGCTGGGCGGAGGCCTTCCACTCAAAGGACAGGTTTCTCTTCCGGGACTTGTCAGAGTGGGTGGTTAAAATGGAAAATTTACATTATGCATAATTTTACCATGCCAAAAACATGCAGTTACCCTTTGATTTAGCAAATTCACTTGTAGGAATTTTTCCTACTGACACACCTGCATAAATAAATCTGGCAAACACTGAGGTGCACTTCCCACAGCCTTTCTCTGCTCTTCCGCTAAGAGAACCCAGATGCTCTGCTCGGGTGGCAAATGGAAACGTCTTATCTTCAAGGCAGTTAGGCCGCTATCTTCAGGGGATCAACTGTGATTAGACTAAAACTGGGGTTGGTAATTCCTTTCCTCTTCACCAGTGATCTGGTTCTGGACAATGAGGGCAAGTCGGCTGAGAGGGCTGGTAAGTCCTAAAAATATGTCTTGTCCCCCAGACACTTTATTCCAGTTTTGATACCAGGAGGAGACCTACAGCTACGGAAGCTGTCCTGAGACTGAGCAACGGCCAGTGAAACCCAACTCACTGATGACGGCAGAGCAGGAAAATGGAAACATCGTAGGATCTTGATGCCATCATTGAATGGCTGCCCTACATATAGACACTCCAAACTTACCCGAGAAAATTAAACAGCTTTCTTAGTTACTTTGCTGTTAATCAGCTTTTATGATAAAACTAAAAGAATTCTGACTCATACAATGAGTAAAAAGTCTGTGTCTATGGATGTCTATCAAAACTCTTTATAAGGCCAAAATTTAGAAAAAGTAAAAATTCATTAAGAGCTGACAAGTTAAATCAATCACCTGACCTCTAGAAACCAGCTGTGCATGCCATAAAAGATGTCAACATGGTTGTTAAGTGAAAAATATAGATGTTGAAGAGAATGACTCAGGTTTGTGGCTTTGCATAGTCACTTGAAATATAGTGCTTACATATGTTTAAACAAATGGAAAATTTCTAGAAAGCTGTGCAAGAATCTTAATGATGGGTACCGCTGGGGAATCAAATTGAGTATCCATAACAAGGGAAGGTAAACTTTTATGTATATTTCCAATGCTATGATATTGTTTTAATATTTTAAAAACATGTAAAAATATCTAAGCTATTTATATTTTTTAAAATCTAGCTACTCATTTTTAATTGAATGGGTGGCTAAAATTAGGGTCATAACTTTTATGAGCTTGCTAAGTGCAGTTTACTGTCTGTTTTATTTTCTATATGTGTAACTTTTATTCATAAACATTTGTACAGACATTTAGCTATTATTTAACATCAAGTGCTGAGTATACATCCATGAACAGGATAGCATGGTCCTTACCTTTAAGAAGCTCACAGATTAGTATGGGATCCCAGCCAAGAAAAGTATTATAGAAGCATAGGAAAGGAGTAACTGACTCTCACTGAATCCATAAGGTGCTATCTCCAGCTCTTTCTTAACTATGTTGTCTTAGTTCCAATCACAATCTAATTATGTTTCCTTAAGCCACCTTTTATTAGAATTCAGGTGTCATGCATTTTGGGTCATTTCTACAGATTTTCTTTCCTAATACAGTCCTTTGATTCTTACTGTTTTCATTCCCTTAGCCACACAACACTGGAGTGCCTGCATATTTATCCCCTCATGTGCGTGAGTGGCCAGAATATATCGGGGTAGTTGGAGCCTCCATCCTAGAACAGCCCCCTGCATTTACCCCAGCGTGCTCTACTCATTAGCATTTTCTTGCTGTGTCATGATGTGACAAAATTTGCGAAGCTACATTAGAATAGCCTGAATTTCAGTTAGGGGAGTATGTTCCTATGGGGGCCAATATATTATCACATGCTTTTTTCCCTCCACATTCACTAATAGAACAAAATAAGTGGATAAAGCAATATATATAGGAAGCAAATTTTATTTTCATTTATCATCTCTGATGCCCTTGAAAAGAATTAGAAAACACCAAAAGAGGGTAGAACAACCTCTGCTGCTGCACTTGAGTTCACCTGCGGCTGTATAGGTGCTTTTCTGTGCACACCTGGCTACCACCTTCAGTACCTGTAGCTTCCTTCTCTGCTCTGCCCAGCCAACACCTTGGTAGTCTGGTCCAAGGTAAGCAGGCATGACTCTGAAGTGTGTGTGAAGGTGGAGAAATGCTGTCATCAACCAATTAACACCCCCAGCCCTCCCTCCTGGAGGGGTTAGAGTGAGAGGTGGGTTCCATGGGGTTTCTCCGAGGGCCCCCAGGGCGTGGAGCCCCAGCTGCCCACTGCAGGGACTGCCTATGTCCCTCCTCTTATCTATGGCGCTCTCTTCTTCTCCATTCCCCTTTCCTCACTTCCCCATCTGGGCTTCCTGGAATCATTCCCCAAATAACTTTAATTTTAAATAATGAGGATATAAAGTCTATTTTATGTACACACATGATACATGAAGTTTGTTCAAGGCAACTATATTTACAGCTCATAGTAAGGACAGAATAATTTTTTATAATAATGCTATTTCTGCTCTCTTATAAAGATGAATATCAATATAGAGCTTAATTATGTGGTTTTCATGAAACAAATATTTCATGTTTATTTTTGGCTAAATAAGTGTTTCTTAGGATTAAGCCAATGTTTTGCCCAGAAATGCCTGCTTAGGACAAACACAAGTTGCCATTTTTCCCTGCGGCCCTGGGGTCTCTCCAAGCGTCTCCCACAAGCACCTTGCACGGTGTCCCCAGGTGAGTAGGAAGACCTGCTGGTGTGGATGGAGGTGTGGTGCGTCCTGGGGTTTTGAAGCTGGGCTCCAGTGTGCTTGGACTGCATGTCCTCACAGGACACAGAGCTGGCACCTTGTGAAAAAGCAGACCAGCAGGAAGCCAGCCAGAGGGCAGCACAAGCCCAGCCTGCGAGGACGTCGGGGACCCTCATCTGCCCTTTTCTGTGTCACGAGAAACAACTGCTTCAATCCAGATGCTATTTAAGAAAATGGTATGATGCCCTTTCCAATGTGACTGACCTGCCATACTGCCTTTACACCTGAGACACCTTCAGTGCCGCCTCCCCAGAGAGCCAAACACTCAAGGTCAAGATCAAAAAGACATGCCCGGCTATAAGAAGTGTAACACTTCTAAACGCTTTTTTTTTAAAACTTCTCTTCCTATGATTTTCTTGTAAGATCACACTGTTTCTTTTTAAAGGAGGGATTTAACTATTAAAACAAAGACATAAGACAAGAAAATATTTGTATCCTAATGTGAACTCCCTACAAGCTGTCTGATATCCAAGGGCAGTGTGAGCAGTGCATTATTGCTGAAGTGAGACCCTCAAAATCCCAAGAGGCAGCATGGCCTACGGTGGCTTAGATTGGCGTCTTATCTCTCCAATTGCAAATTACTGAGTTAAACACTACAAAATTTCTGCCAACTATCCATTATTTACGGACATTTTATTTACCATGCTTTGTTATCTCTTTGTCCGTTCTCCTGTTGAGTGTTTTTGTTTATTTCACTACTATTTTGCAGAGGAGCTGAGCAGAAAAAGTTACACCCAAGCTGATCTATATCATACCTTGTTAAATATACTGGCAGAAAAATTGGCTCAGGAATAGAATAATATGACTGGATAAATTAACATTCAAAGGGCAAATTTCATTTTTGCCTGCCACCTCTAATGTTCATCAGCAGAAAGAATTAGAAGTTGGTTTGTGTAAAAGAAGTTTGCAAATGAAAATAAAGTGAGAGATAGCAAATAAAACAGGAGAAAACTCTCTGAAAAAAATATCTAGGGTCTGGACTGTCAGGCATTTAAAAAAAATATGTGTGTTGGTTTTCATATTTTATATGCACAGGAATTTTTGAAGTTTGGCTAATATTTTGATCTAAGGAGTAATGCAGTGCAACAAAGTCTTTCCTCTCTAAAAAGTGGGTCTTAAACGTAAAAATACAACACTGAAAACATAGTGTAATGCTATAAAACAATAGACTAAGGATATAGTAATCGACACACCCAAATAGTCCCATGACATCCCCCACCTCCTATTCTCACACACCAGCACCACCTCCATCCTTCACACTGACCAGACTTGATTAGGAAAGTGTGATCTACAGCTCAGTCTCTTAGATTTGTCTTAAGAGTCCTTTACAGAATTTCTTTCTCTGCTAGGTTTGCTTTCCATGAGGCAAAAAGCAAAAAACCTGCACTCCATGAGGGACCTACAGCTTCCAGACAGTCGAAGTGATAGTGGACAATGAGGTATAAAACATGTTCTCAGTTGAGGGGACTCAGGGCCTCTCCCATTTTCCCCCAGAAGAGTCATATAGAAAATACCCTTTGGCACCCTTTTTGATGGCAGAGGTGGTCTCCTCTCTGAAAGGCAGATCAAACTCAGATGCCTGCAGAGGAGGGTATGAGGGCCACATTCCACGTCCCACAAACGAGCCTCAAATCTTAGCCTTCTCCTCCTTAGATCTTGAGGTTTCTGCTTTCCCACCAGCACCTTGTCTACTTGAACTCTGAGAAGCATCCACTTACCCTTTCCTTTGGAGATAGAATGGCTCCCCTTTCAGAGTTGCAGAGACATAGCCTTTAAACAAGTCATCTTCTCCCTTTCCTTCCTCTTCTAATGGGAAGGGGCACAACTGTCACCACTAATCCTCAGCAGCCACAAGAACTGTCCCTCTGTGTCCAAATCCAGCCTTAACCGCATTGGTTTTCTCTAAGACCGCATACACCTACCCACACATGGTGTCCACAGCAACATGGTTCAAGCCTGTGTGAAGAACTAGACAAAACTGGAGCTGGTTTTGCACAGACCTGCATTGGCATCCTCAGCAGGAGCCGGATGCCTGCATCTTGTTCTCCCTGCCAAAGGGAGAATGATTGAATCAAACAAATCTCAGCATTCTCAGCTTCTTGAGCAATGTGGGCTGAAGCTCTTATCCCTAGTGGTTGATGCCATGGCCAGAAAGCAATGTTTGGTACAGAAAGGACCACAAACAGCCACTCCTTCCCCTCTCAATTGCACTGAAGCTGCATTTCACAAGTTTGCATGCATCTAAGAACCACCTGAGACAGTTGATAATCACACAGAGCCTATAGATTAGGGGTTCTCAAGTGGGGTCGCCGGAGTACAACATCAACAGTAGTTGGAAGCCTGTTAGAACTACAATTTCCTGGACCCCCACTAGCCCTACGGAATCAGAAACTCAGAGGGTGGGATCTGGTAATCTGTGGGTTAGCGAGCCTAGTGGGTGATTCTAATATAAGCAAAATTTCAGAACCACTGGAATAGATTCCCCAGGCTTCTTCTCAGACTTGTGAAATCAGAATCTGCAGGAGAGAGTACTGGAAATTCATATTTTTATTACATACCCTAGGAAGTTCTTTTGACCAGACAAGTTAGGAAAACACTTGAGTTAAAGAATCACCACAAAGTCAATAAAACGACCGAGCCTCTTGAGGCCCCATCCCATCTGGGATTTATTGATTAAGTGTTGGGCTTCTGAAGCACATTTGACCAATTATGATAAATTATTAATATGGGTATCTGAACACCAAATTTTTGCTAGGCACTTATTTGGACAAAAACAAAGAGGGATTAGATACGATCCCAGATCTATAAATACAGCAAAATGAAAGGGACTCAAAAGGCTGCATGGTATATGGTTCTATTTATATAACATTCTGAAAAAAGGCAAAGTTATAGGAACAGAAACAGGTTAGTAGTGGCCAGGGGCTGGAGTTGTGGGAAGGAGTAACTGCAAAGGGCAGGGTGAGGGAATTTTGGTGGCGATGGAGATGTTCTAAATCTATTGTGGTTGTAGTTACACAACTGTACAGTTTACTAAACTCACAGGCTAGGCACCAGAACCGTACATAAATAAAAAAGAATAAACAAAAATGGGAGGTGACAGATATATGCAAGTGTCTATCCTGAGGGTTTTCAGCCCCTGGCAAGTTCACCCTGGATTTGGTGAAACAGAAATGTGACAACGGAATGTTCCTGGAGTGGAGGGGGTTATATGCAGTGTATTCGAGTGGCAGTGGCAGCCACTAGAACCCATCCACCTCAGGCCAAGCCTGCATGCAGAAAGCTGGTCTCTGTTCCCCACTCCTGGCTCCCCCTTGCTCTCTTCTCCAGGCTTTGCCCTGTGCTAGCCTCTGCACTCTACTCCTAACTCTGTCTCTTCTCCAGGCTCTGCCATTGCCTCCAGCCTCTGCTCTTTCCCAAGCAGAGCAGGCAATACAGCAACACAGGCAATACTGACTTATTGCCAGCAGGTATCTAAGTATTATCCTGGCAGTAGGCCAACTACATCATCAAGTACATTAGGGTCAGGTGAGGATCCTGGCCATGGGAACTCCCATTTTGCCCACAGCAAGTAAGGCAAAGGATGAGTGGAATAGCATGAAGGAGCTACGTGGATTGACTCTACGAGAGCCCAAAGAACTTCACAGAGGCTACATTTGAACTGAGTTTTAAACAGTGAGCAAAATTTTTCCTGGCAATGATGCATAGGGAACATTCTAGAATAAGAGCAAGGTATTGAATACATTTTATTCCATGCCTTGACTACAATCCCTGCAGTCTCAGTGTGGCCAGTGGATCAGCAACATTAACATCACCCAGGAGCTTGTTGGAAATGCAGACTCTCAGGCCCCCACTGCAGACCCACAGAGTTGGTTTCTGCATTTTCACACACTCCCAGATGATTCATGTACACATTAAGGCATGGAAGCACGGCTCTGGAGAATCCGCCCAAATCTCAGCCCTTGGAAGAGCCCCACACACCATGGGACAACCTTCCGCCCCTTCCATGATGGGTTGGCCAGATGTGGCCACATTAGCCAAGACCAGTCAGTCCACTGATTGGGCAGCAACCAATCAGGCTGCCTTGAGAATCTGGACTTTTCAAGAAACACAGATCATTTGAGCTAAAAGGTTAAGGAGAGTTAGGACTGGAATAGGTGACGGAGCAGGCCAAGACGGAGTTTCATTTCCGAGAGCTCTCTCTGTAACATACTCCTCCACTGTTGGAACCAGTCTGAGAGGGCTTCCAGTGTGTTTTGCCTCTTTGCTTTTGTTTTTCCACCTATGAAACTTGACTGTGGAGTTCTGGAAAGGGCCTAGCATGTTTGAGACAGGCCTAGAAGGAAGGCTGGGAGGGAAGAGGTAGGCAAGGCTGAAAATTGTGGTAGTGATCAAACTCAGAAGGGATTTGTCTATCATATGAGGGCGTTGAACCATATTCAGTGGGAAAAAGGGACCTACTGCGGCTCTTTAAGCAGCAGAGTAAGACAGGCAGGTGAAATTCCACAGAGATAGCTTGCGAACAGCTGGAGAGCTGGACCTGGAGACCAGGAGCTGTGGAGAAGGCCACTCTACTGCAGGTCAGTAAGACCAGGCAAGTACTGATGAGGGGGAGTGAGGGGGGTGGACTCCGGAGGTCATTTGGAGGCAGGATTTGGTGACTGGCTGAAGAGAGGATTCTAGCATGGACAATGTGGGGTGATACAGAGTGGGAGCTCCGGAGAAGCAACTAGACCTTTAGGCCTGAGTCCATTCCTGAAAATCCTAATGAAATAAGTGACTTAACAGGCAAAGTATCAATTCTAACAAAGTTAAATTTTATCCCTGTAACGTTTGTTCTCCTTCCCCCTTCCCCAGGTCGCCTGGCATGATCCACCTGCCACAGGTTGAGGGGTAACCTACCAACACTGTCCGCTTTGGCCCTGGAACGCAAACTCCCCTGATGTGGAGATTCTCCAAAGGCCCAGCTCCGGGATTAGAGAGGGGGGCCGAGAGGGCGAGAGAGCCCACCCAGACGGCCCAGTGAACAGTCCTGCCATCCAGCCGTGTAATATTTCATATTGGAAACCAGGAGGATGGCTTATCCAGGGCATGACCCTACTGCCTGCCTCGCCCACAG